GCAGCTCATTTTTCTCTCCCTGTCTTCACATCAAGTTCCTCATTAAGCCAAATCCATCTTGTCTGCACCACTGTTTTCCTGTCTGCGGTCACACCTCATTATTCTTCGTTTCTTGTCTCACATGTATGTACTCGTAAAAAGTTGTTGAATGCTGCATTTTTAATCAAAGCAACAACTAGCAAGCATATCTGCTATACTGTTGATGAAGAGGGATTGCCTTCCGTTCATTTAGACGTCAAAGTTTAAGGTCATGGTTTCAGGATCTTAACATTTGATTTGTATGGATGTGATGGGCCGTATCTCCTGGTTAGGGGTGTTTTCTTTGGCTCTTGATGAGGTCTATCACTAATTATTGTTCACTTAACAGACAGAACATAATTATTTTCCACATCCCAAGGTGGCATTTTCTAATTACTTTTTCAAACAACCCATTCAAAACGTAAAGATATTCAGTTTGCCAGCACATACGATGGAAATATTCTCACATTTAAGAAGCTGGAGAAAGAGAATTTTGAGAAATATTTGTTTTGCTCATTTTTTAGTGTATGTTCCAGGACCTATTGGTATTCCACCGATTCCCAAGCTCTCATCCTGACTCATAAAGAAACAGGCATTTTCGTTTAACGCCTATAAACAAGCCTTATCTAGTATATCGCAAAACACAGTTTGGCCTTTTTTTGTGGCTCAAAAACTGAAATCTATTGAAACTGTTGGTCTCATTTTATATCAGTGATATATTAATATCTGCTAATGTAAGGCATGAAATGAGATCAATAAATCCCTGTTATTCTTATTTTAAACTCCATCTTAACTGTAGAATCTTAGGGATGGGTGAGATTTAACTTTTGTTTGTCATGGATGAGAAGAGGGAGACACACCTTGTGGAGATCTGCAATACATACTTTTTTTTGTTAAGCCTTGTGACGTAATCATCTAACATCCTTTCTGATTTATATTGAAACCCTTTGAGGTAGTCCTGACCTCCAATATTTGGAAGCACTGCCGTTAAACATTTAAAATAAAAAACTGGACACAAACAGAAAGCCCTCAGACTCACATGGCTCTGTCTCTCATTGACTGAGACACCTTGGCTCCGGTGATGTCATTCTGCTGTCTTTATGGGGCCTCTGTCTTTCTGTGTCCCTGCCTGCTCCGTTGTATGGAGGACGGAACATGACTTAAGTATAAATAAATAAATGTATGAAGAAATACAGGAATAAATAAATAAATACGTAAATAAATAAATAAATACAGGAATAAATAAATACAGGAATAAATAAATGACGAAATAAATACAGAAATAAATAAATGTTGAAATGAATACACAAATAAATAAATAAAAGAATAAATGCATAAATAAATGCATAAATAAATATGGAAATAAATACATCAATGTACAAATAAATAAATAAAAGTCGAAAATAAAACAGAACACACGTTATTATATATCTTTCATTTATTTCTACATTTACGCGACATACATTTATTTATTTATGTATTTATGTGTCCGTATGCTAATGAGGTGGGCGGTCCTAACCTCAGTCTGAAGCAGGATTCGCCAATTGTTGGAGCCAGGCAGAAGCAATAGATTTGTGGCAAGTCACATCATGTCGAGCTGAGCCAAGTCCTCTATACATCGTTCCACACGAAACTGGACATAGTCTTTTGGTTCTCCGTTCTCTAAATGGTCCGCTAATGATCGTAAATGATCTCCAATGGCTCTTAAATCAATATCCATAAATAAACCTTACAACTGTGGATAAACCATGGATGTATAAAGATAAGGGCTAAACAGTAAAGCTCCTGCATTCGAATCAGCGCGGTTATCCAGGCGTTAGTAGTAGAGCCCTCTGCCAGAAATGATCACACACTCCTGTAACCAATCCTGCTTCAGACTGAGGTTAGGACCGCCCACCTCATTAGTATACGGACACATAAATACATAAATAAATAAATGTATGTCGCGTAAATGTAGAAATAAATGAAAGATATATAATAACGTGTGTTCTGTTTTATTTTCGACTTTTATTTATTTATTTGTACATTGATGTATTTATTTCTATATTTATTTATGCATTTATTTATGCATTTATTCTTTTATTTATTTATTTGTGTATTCATTTCAACATTTATTTATTTCTGTATTTATTTCGTCATTTATTTATTCCTGTATTTATTTATTCCTGTATTTATTTATTTATTTACGTATTTATTTATTTATTCCTGTATTTCTTCATACAATTATTTATTTATACTTAAGTCATGTTCCGTCCTCCATACCGTTGGGCCTGTCATCATCACACCCTTAATGCATCTCACCACACTCTACATTTCCTCTGGCATGCCATCCATCTGCCTAATGGGCCAGCAGGGTGTGGCCGGCCAGCCATAGTGCACACTGCTTTTGTGTGTGTGTGTGTGTGTGTGTGTGTGTGTGTGTGTGTGTGTGTGTGTGTGTGTGTGTGTGTGTGTGTGTGTGTGTGTGTGTGTGTGTGTGTGTGTGTGTGTGTGTTATCTGTCTGTTGTCTGTGTGTGAGTGCCAGTGAACTCTCTAACTGCGTCGGCCATTATGGAGTGTAACTGAATCCTCTGAAAGCCGCTCTCTACTGCAGGGCGGTGATGGGTGTGAGGAGGGACGGGAGGAGTCATGTCGGAGTCACACGGTTGTAAAAACAAATAGAGGAGTGGACTCTGTAGAGAGGTGTGCAGGAGAGGAGGGCGTCTGAGCTGACTTACTGTATATGAGCACTGAAGACGGGGAACAGATTCCTCCTTTCTGCTCATGAGCTTAACTGAGAATTAAAAGATTGTTAGGCTTTACTCTTCTTTTCACCAGACAGGGTGTGTACTTCCTTCTAATAAAGATGGTATTAATTCACTTAAATACTGTATTTAACAACTTTCATACAAGAAACTGCAAGGGTTGACAGGAGGAAACAACAAAATAAAAAAGTTTATTAGACTGCAAGAGCCAAACCTAGTAGTAAAGATTTCAATACACATCTCATTTTTAGAGAGAATATGTGTATTATATGTGTAATGGAGGTTTTACTAAAGGTATAACTTTGAGGTACTGGAGTATTTCTATGTTATACTACTATCACTTCTAATCCACTGCAGTACACTACAACAGATTTCTTTATTTTATAGATTGAGATTATTAATACAAAATAAATGAACAAATACATTATGACACATTGATGTTAGTTTTGCTACCCATCAGTACCTGGGGTTTTCTTACTATGAGAGGTCAAAATGTCAGCTGTGAGGTTATGCTTCATGGATTTCATTACATCTTTCCATTTTTATTTTGTGTTAACCAGCAGGGATCTCTTGAGAATATTTAGAGTAATTATAATTAGAAATAATAATCAAGCAGAGTATCTTTTAAATGGCGACTGAGGTAGGGGTAAAGACAATTTATGAATAATTGCTACTCTAAAGCCCACCCCCCCCCCCCCCATGTTAACTGCATATGACTGAGCAGAGTTCATGTCCACAGCTGTGAGACTTGAGGCAGTGACCCAACACACAGACAGACAGACACACACACACACGATATGCCGCAGGAATCAAATAGACATGTCACTTTAACGTAAATACCAAAACACATTGATTGTTATGGAATTGGTCCATCCCCTGATGTCCATGGTGAATTATTTAGTGTGTTGCACTTGAGCTGTCGTCGGGCCGACCCTGGACAATATGTCTCTGAGGCTCAGGGGGAGATGACAGGTAGAGGACCACAAACTGCTTTTAACACACTCCCCCCTCACCCTGTAGTCTCCCTCAGGTCTCACCTCTCGCCCTATAGTCTCCCACATATAAACCTCATCTTCCTCTTCCCATGCCCTTCGTCCTTGCCTCCCCACCTCTCACTCCTGACTCACCCTGCCTCCCGGCTAATAGATCCTGACTCGTGTTATTCACAGAGCTGTGGGGGGAGGGGGGGGTACAAGGAGAGAAAAAGGAAATGTATTTGTGATGTATCATCAAATAGATCAAGGCACTGGATGGAAAGTAGGATGGAAAGATAGACCTCAAGTGCTTGTGATCACCAGAGGGAAAGTGATATCTGAGCCATCAGCAGGCATTTAACAGCTTTAGTGGACTAAAAGCAGTGTGGGTGTGTGTGTGTGTGTGTATGTGTGTGTGTGTGTGTGTGTGTGTGTGTGTGTGTGGTGTGTGTGGTGTGTGTGTGTGTGTGTGTGTGTGTGTGTGTGTGTGTGTGTGTGTGTGTGGTGTGTGTGTGTGTGTGTGTGTGTGTCTTTGCTAATGAAGTTATTCTGGTCTAAGCTGATTTTAGCAGCGCTGAAGAGAGTTGCTGCTGCAACAACACATCCATGCCATGAAACACAAGTGTTTTTCCTGAGTGTTTTACATTGCTTTTTTGTTCGTTTTTAAGATAGCAAAGTGCCAGTGGCTTCAGTTTTAGATCTCCTGCCCTCTGATCTGTACTTCACTGCTCACATCTCCTCCCAAAGGTCCTCTGCGGTAACTGTCACTCACTTGATCTCTGCATCTGCCCTTCAGCTCCTCGTCCCTCCTGCTGTCCTTGCTGCTCACAACACATCTGCTCAGTCAGGAGAATAAGACTTGAATATCCTCAAGATTTCGTCCTTAAGATGATAATGTCCTATTCTAGTATTCTGCATGTCAGGCTGAACAGCCGCATGTAGAGTCATTATTGTCCTGCCCGGGAGTCTAACTGCTTGCACGACTTTTTTTGTGTCGTCTCGCGAGACGTTTAATGTTAATTTATTTATAGTCGGCTCACTGCCATCCTGAGGAAGAACTGTGGAGGCTACATTTCACTGTGTCCCTATTAAAAGGCACAGAATGAAATGTCAGCAAATGATCCCATCTTTGTTTTACACTCATGGGACGTACTAAACTTCCCTAAATGAGACTCGAGGCAACTGTTTTAAATGAGTGATTATTACAATACATTTTTAAGCAAATGACTTACTTGTTCCCACCCTTTTCTTTCTTTTCTGCAGCGTGTCTGTTGCAATCAGAGCTGGTGAACTACGAGCGGGTGAAGGAGTACTGCCTGAAGGTGCTGAGCCACCAGAGGGATCACTTCAAGGCCATGTACCGAGCCGGCATCGCCTTCTATCACCTGGGTGACTACGAGTGTGCCCTGCGCTACCTGCGTGACGCCAAGAACCGCGAACCCTCAGGTGAGCCTGTGCATTCAGTTACACTCACATAACAAGAGACATGGATACAAATATAAGTATTGCTGCGAGTCTAAGATGATAAGTAGGTACATTGAATTATAGTTGAGTGGATGTATAGTTCATGAGCTTAATGTTGGGAAGAACTGTATATAGGAAATATGATAAGCAGCCATATTGCTTTATAACATGCATAATGCAAACTTTGTTTAAAATGTAACATGCTTGGCCTCTTAGATCAACCAATATAAAGACATGTTAACTTTTACATTAGAGTATAAATATGTATAACATTTTAACTCATGGTGTGTTGATAACTCTCTAATACGTTAGTTCATTTAGCAAGCAAGCTCATTGGTATTCCTACCCTATACTTCACACTCATAATCACACATGACCCAGATCATCCTCTCCACCAGCAGCACTCCACCCTCCTCCCTGGATGCAGGTGTAGATAGATACATGTCTACATGTCCTTAATATTACCTTTCTAAGTTACAGGGAATCCAGAATGCAGTGATGTAGGGTTTCAAGTCCTTGTATAATCGTGTGTTATGCATCTGTGTCTTACCTGTGTTTATGTGATATGTGTGTGTGTGTTTTGACTGCATGGCAGCTGCGGAGATTCATGGGAGTAGTAGTTTATCCCAGTTGTGCTGTTGGTGATTGGTGGTTAAAAACAAATGACACTTCATGGCAACCATGGCCAAATTGTAGCTCTGTTAAAACAACTTGTAATCTCTGACATTAAAGGAGCATAATGTAACTCCAGCCCTTTGACTAATGAGATTACAATGATTGAATCAATGATGTGCCTCTCCCTTTTATTTCAACGTTCTGCCTCTCATCCATTACACTTCCTCTCCCCGTCTCAGACACCAACGTGCTGCGGTACATCCAGCTCACAGAGATGAAGATGAGCAAGTGCAGTCAGCGAGAGCGAGAGAGCTGCAAAGAGACCCAGGGCTAACCCTCGATCTTTCGACCTCCTGACCCCATCGACCTTTGACCCCGCAGCGACCCTCCCTCTGTCCTCGATCGACTCCTGGCAGCAGCACAGCCCACAGGCGAGAAGAGACGGACCCAAATACCCGCCAGCAATGGATAAAAACGGGAGACATATCAAGCTCTGTCTGCAACCCGACCTCCTTCTCTCCCCTCTTCTTCTCCCCCTTTTTCTCCCTCAGGTGCTGTGGCTCCTCTCCGTAGACAGTTTGTAGACAGTCGATCAAACATAAAAACAAAACAAAAAATGCTGTATTTTACTCATACGAAAAATGAGCTTCAAAACATAGATATTAATAATTGACATTTGCGTGATTTAGTTAATGTTTTAAAGACATAAGATGCATTTTGTTTCCGCTCTCTTTTTCTCTCTGACTTCTCTCTCTTTGTCTTATTTCAAACTCTTGAGGAGAATATGGGGATTGTGAAGCTCGACCACACCGGGAGGAGAGCATGAGTGTGTGTGAACATGAGCAGGGGATAGTGAGGGGTGTGTGACACATATCAAGACCGTACCCCAATTTGATTGTACATCCTCCCCCAACAGGGCTCCCAGGGGCCCCTTAACGCAGACTGTGGGACAGACTAGCTCGGGAAATCTTTCATCAAGTAGAGAAAACGCCTGCCTCTCTGCTTAATCTATCGCTCTACTGGCTCTCTTTGCTTTCCTGGATGCCATGTATCTCACTTTATGGACCGTTTTCTTTTTCAATTCAAGGGCTAAATCAAGTGTTTGAAATGTTTATTTTGCTTTTGGTGTTCATCAAACTCAGTAGAATTGAATCTGTGTCTCAGCGTTTCGCTAAACTGGTGTGTTTTGAGTCTTGTGTCCAAAGCCCCTCCTTGGTCGTGGGTCATTGTTAGGACTGTCGAAGCCCCCCCCCCCCTCCCATCTCCCCCACCACCCTCGTTCTCCTGTTAACGATGTCACAACGGAAAATAGCCAATGGGATCAGAGTTCCAGCGACCGCTGTTGGCTAGATGGAAATCCACTTTAAAGTTTCACAGTGAGAAACACTTCAAAATGTCTAATCGGAGGTCCAACCTTTTATCACTAATGCTGAAGCTTCCCAGACATCGATAACTCACGGAGGAGACTCTGGGCAGCGTTAGTGCAGGGAAAACAATTACACACACATCTGTCCCGACAGGCAAGACCACCATCTAGGAGCACTCATCTTTAGTGCACTTCAACAAGAGTGTGCCGTTTGAGATTTCTTCCTCTTTAGTGTGTTGACAAAGCTTCTGTGTTTGAAAATGTTTCCAAAACACAGAGCTGTAAGGACAGTTAACACACAGCACTAAAAACACTACTGATGATATGGTTGTTGATATCTATGGCTAGCTGTCAAAATATACATAGATCATTTGCTTCTCTTGTGACTTGGAAAGCCAAATCATTGATAATGCAAATATTGCTTTTGTGATAGATTTACGACAAGCTTAAATCTGCCTGCGCTGTTCTGCAGAAGGTTGGATTGAGGATTTATGAAAGCATGACCTGGATTTGCCTTCTCTCTGATGTCATGAAACCCAGTTTCCTCTTGTGCGGGCCCACCTCCTGCATGTACGTGCGGCTCCAGAGAGTTACTTCAGATGTATGGGATGGGGATTATATCTGCTCTATTGCTTTCTGTCATGGCATGCTGCCACACTGTTCTCTCATACCTCAATGTTATCCATTATGCCCCTTATGAACACAGAAGGTGGTGACAGACTGTGATCACAGCAGTGGAATATAGATCAAATAAATGTGAGGAAAGAAAGAGGACTTTAATGAACAGGGTCACATTCTGCATCTGCCAAGGTGACAGATAAGACGTTATTCCACTGCGTATCCAAAAAAGATGTGGGAGATGAAATCAAAGAAAGATTTCCTTTACCCATTTTTCAGTGACCTGCTAGGAGGTAAATAGGGACAGAAGTGTGTCAATGGGTCTCTGGAGAGATGGCGGCATGCGCTGAGGGGACCGACATGATACAGAGGGGCTCAGTGGGGGGGGGGGAAGTAGAGCAGCTGCAGCAGAGACACAACATTAGAGGATCAGAGCTGGGAGATTTATTATTACACATAATTTGGCTAAAAGTATGGAAACCTGATACTTGAAATATTTGATTGCCATCTCATACACTAATTTCATGTGTTAATCTTCTATTATAACAACCATTACTGCTCTGAGTCCAAATAAAGTACAATTGGACTCTCAAAGTAATGGCATAATGTACATGTAGGGCACTATGTTGTCAATAGAGACTGATGTCAGACCAACACTAGACAGCTGATTCACAGCTGAGATTCGGTCCTGTGAGAATAAGAAAGTTATGTTAATTTTTTGGAGCAGCATTACGTTTTCCCCCAACTGAAAGTAAGAGACTCGAACAGAAAGACCAGGGTTGTCTAATGAATTGTGTAAGCCATATGCTGAACATGATATGACATCGATTTTTATCAATATATATAAATAGCTAATAGTGTTTTCCTAGTCTTAATGTTAGTGTAACGTTTTCTTAAAGGAAAAGTTTGACATATTGGTAAATGTTATAATAATGATGCTGCAGCAGGTTAGCTTAGCACAAAGACTGAAAAACAGGTGGTAACATCTAGTCTGGCTCGGTCCAAAGTTACAAAATCCACCTGCCAGCACCTCTAAAGCTCTCTCATTAACATGTCGTATATTGTTTATGTAATCTGTAATAAGTCTGAAGTAAAGTGATTAAACATATTTACCAAACTGTTGAACTACTCCTTCAAGTTATCCCACTGTTTGATTTGAATGAAATGCAATCAATGTTACCGATTTATCAGGGAAACCAAATCAACACAACATCATAAATTAAAGGCGAAAGAAAATAAGGTGTAATGAGTCAAAAACATCTGATCTCTCACCTCTGGGGTTGAGGCTCTGGTATCAGAGGAAATAAATCAAAACAACAGAGAGTAATGGCGCCCACAGGCTCGGTCTCCATGGCTGCCTGGGCTGAGTCTCCTCACCCTCGGGCCCCTCGGGGATCGGTCTCCTCCCATGGTCCTCTCTCCATGGCACTAGTCCGCCATCTTGTTTTTGTCTAGTTGTGCCAAGTCATTCTCGCTCAATGTGTTTTACGACCGCCTAGGGACAACTAGCTGCACATTACACAGGTTCTTGATTAATGGTAGAGTGACTTCGAGGTTGTTATTGTGAGCATAACTTGTGCAAATAGAGATCTCTGCATCGGTGTAGCTTTGAAACAAACAACAAAAAGCACAACAACAACAACAACAAAAGTCAAACTACTGGCTGTGTTATTTTTGCTTTGATGTCATTTGATGTAAATGTTTGTCAAATGTCAGAGTCGTTTTTGTGAATTATATGATACAAATGTACAAAAAAAATAACAAAAATGTAAAGTGTTATGGTTGTGAAGAGCTTTACTTTATTGAAATACTTTATCAACAGAAAATAAAAGCAAGATATAGAGAAAGATAATTTAACTGAAGCTCCTCCACAGAGCTGCTTTGTGACTGTTTATGTATTTGTTGGTCTTTCTGTTGACGTCCATTTTCGTCAGGGGATCCAGAACCGGCTCGAAGTATGAGCGTCCTTTGACCCTCCTGTTTGGATGACCTTTGACCTCGACTCTACTGTGTCTGCGCAGTAAGACGAACACAGCAGAGAACTTTGAGGAACTTGTGTCAGAGCGCAGAGCGGCTCCTCACAGCCACAGATCTTTGTTTCTGTGGCCGTGGGGGGGGGAAAGGGAAGCGCGTTTTGGGCCTTTTTCCATTCAACATCCAAACATCAACTCCATCACTGGTTTTACGGAACTGCTAGCCCGGGAATGCACTATTGATTGGTAAATGAAGATTACGAATAAAGTTTCAAACAAAGAGGAATGGTGTTATTGTTGTTGTTGTTGTTGTTGTTGTTGTTGTTGTTGTTGTTGTTGTTGTTGTTCATTTTTAACAAACGTATCTTTGTCAACATTTTCTTCAACATGGGCTCAAGTTATTTTATCCTTAAAAACTATTTGACTCACATTTATTTTGTATCATGTAAATTACAAACCACTATCACTTTACCTTTACCATTTTAATTTTGATCTCATTTTAGTGTATGTCTCCTACCTGAATTTATTTGTAACCTTGTACTGCTGCAACAACATAATGTAGCCTACCCATTAGGGATACAGGTGCATCTAATTTTTTATTTAATACACATATCCTTTTAGTATAAAGCTTCACTCCTGGTTAAAATATGTATTTTAAGACAAAGAGAGTCCTGCAGATCTGAGGACCATTTGGCAGGCAGTCTGTTTAGTGTCTTTTAGTTGTTAAATCCTTTCGTATTCAGAAAGAGTATGACGTGATGCTCCCAGGAACAAAGAGAAAGAAAGCTGGACACATGGTGAAAAACGGTTGAGGAAATCATGAAGGGAACGACAAAGAAGATGATTAACATGTCAGTCTGCTGTCAATGCAGATAGAGACGTGTGTGTGTGTGTCAGCTGTGAACTGGCCTGCTTAATCTTTATTTTTGCTCTCTCTATAACATCTCCCCACTTCATTTTTAGTCCCAGCTTCCCCTTTCTCTGCGTTTTTCTTTGTTGTTACTTTTAATAGCATCACCATGGAAGTGAAGAGGGGTTGCTAGGTAACTGGCTGGCGTCTGGAAGTGCGTGTGATTGGCGATCACGCTGACAGACACAGTGTGAGTTTGCATCATCTGTATACACTGCATGTACTTCTACTAAGGTTATCAGTTTGACATTTCACAGTTTGTTTTCTTGGTATTTAGAAGATGTAGTTCCACTCTTACAGCTCCAAATGTGTTTTTAAATCTTTGTTAGCTGCGTGGGCAGCATAATTGCTCCTTCATCACGCGTTCATTGTAACTGCAGAGTCAGACAGACACTATAGGAATTCATCACACGGAGAAAAACAGCAGACTGGGAAATGACATGACATCATAGGCCTCAGTAGGGACCCCTGCAGGACTGAGTCTGCTACTGCAGCCTCCTTTGTCGGCAGATAACCACCAGTGCAGGTTACTTTATTTTGTGATAGTTACTACTTCTACTTCTCTACATTGCAGAGGGGAATGTTGTTTGCATTTAACTCTAATACATTTGTATGATAGACCTAGTTACTGGTCGATTTTCAGATTAGAATTCTCAGAATAAACTCATGAAGAGCACATTTTTACAACAACATTAGACGATAGTGCTCAACTAATGTGCATTTTCCTTTTACATTTTTGTAATTATGAATACAAATTCAAACTTAGCTGTCAGAGAGTCCTTCCCCTTAACCTCTCAATAATTTATAGAAATATTTCGAGGCACAAATAATAAAGAATTGACACCACACATTATTTTTAACAGTCATAAAAAAAGTTTAGCTTAGTTTTGGTTGTTCTCCTTTACTCCCATTTATCACATCACTATCTCTCAAATGTATATTGTGATTCTTTGACGCACCCTTACATTTTAAACTATTTTAAATACCTTACTGCATATAAAGCAACTCCAACTCGGGAAACTACAAAATTGCTATCAACATTGCTTCTCCCAAATTATAAATCTATGAATGTAATTAATTAATTAATTGGTAAATCAGTCAAAGGGGGAATTGTACTGCAGAATGAATACCTGTACTTGTATGTACATTTTTCAGGAGATAAGTCTGTACTTTAAAGGCAGAACTTTTGCCTATAAAGAAGGATTTTACCATTGTTGTTTTGATATTTTTAGTAAAGGACCTAAATACTTCTCCCATCAGTAATCACATCAAACATAATCTGTTATACCTCATGGATATAATGGACAGATACAAGATTTAGCAGTGACACTAAAGCATCTTTCTTTGATTTTTATTTGTCTCTCATTCGTCACGTTTCACACTTATTCTTCATTGAACCCAGAAGTCACAGGTTGAGACTGGACACAACAGTAAGCAGTGTCCTAGGTTTTTTCCTTGGTTTTTTCCTGTTATATTTAACAAATATATACAGATATCCCAGGAAGAGCATAGTCATAACAATTAATTTTTCCAATAATAACAATAAATTTAATAAATACTCAGTGTTCTTAACCACACAAGGAGAATGAGTTTGCGCTCACTCTACTTCCAACGGGATTGTCATCATCCCGTACAAATAATAATACATACACACACAATCACACCCACACTCACTTAGAGAAATGTGCACTGTCAAGTAAAATACTACCTGCAGCCCAGACAAACTTTTCGACCTCTGTGCGAAAACAACTCAGCTGATTAAAGCTGATTTGTTAGCCGTAAGTAGAGTCCACGAGAGGCTGCACAACATGGCTCCTAAAGGGCCACACATGTTGAAAACAAGTCAGACGTGAACATGAAGCTTTCGAATGGTCCATCATGAGGTCGACTTTAAAAGCATTTCCCCTCAGTTTCCTTTTTTCGTGTCTATTTCAGTGGCATGAGCGGAATCCATACTTAGTGCTACTGACTGCTAATGAGGAATGTAAAACGTGTAGAAGACAAAACAGATGAGCTCTTATTTCGAAGATAGTGCCCCATTACAGAGAACCATTCACACGTAAAACAACATGCACTGAAAAAGCACCAGCACATACAAAAATGAACCCATTTTGTTCTTCCACACATGTACAGTAATATATACACATTCACACAGAGAGATACATACCTGGTCTGCCAAACCCATAGAAAAAACATTTTTGCTAACAGGATTCAGATGGGATGGTGTAAGCACTGAGAAAATAAACTCTTTGTTTCGTACTGTACAAGGCTGAGGATTAAACCAGTCCATCAGTGCTGAGAGATAAAAGGCTTTTTCCTGTCCTGGTGTTGGAGGGGAGAGGACGAAGACCCCCATGCAGAGAGATGAGGAGTGAAGAGGAAGGCAGGGGGGATGTTTGTGCAGCAAAAGAACCAACAACGTGCAAAATAAGAACAAAGACACTCTCTATTGTACATTTTTAACAGTCCTACTCCAGGTGTTGACAATGAAATGATGTTTAGGGGAATGTTTAAGAAGATTTATCTCTTTGGAGTGAAAGATGTGAGCAGAAAATGGGCAGCGTCACAGAAACGGCACGGGCAGATGAGTCGGGATGAACAGTTAGCAAATTCTGAAAACGTTTTAGGAACTTGAATGGCTTTTGAAGGTTGTGAGTTTGTCCTGGTCATGTCGCACTAAGAACCAGGGAGAGATGGCTTTCAAAGAGGGGGGAGAGAAAATGCTGGGTAAGGTTGGGTGAGCATACTACAAGGCTTTTAAAAGGCCTCCAGGACCCTCATAGTCGTGCAGGCTGGAGACCTCTATCAGGGAAAAGGCTTGCTATATGGGTTTCACACCTTATTAGGATACTCAAAGGACACATGAGAGGAGTGGCTTTCAGTAAGTGCCTAAAACATGACGAGTGTTGTTTTTTCTTAGCAAAAGCCTCTGAGTGCACTTTGCTTGGCTCAGTAATGTCCCGGATCAGGTCCAAATGCAGGAAAGGGGACTTCTTCCTTCACAACAAGTACGTCTGTCCACACAGAGCGGCCGCCTGCCTCTTCCCACACAGGGGGACGGTGGGGTCTGTGCTCTGGCCCTCCGCGTCCAGGTCCATCAGGGTGGGCCGCGTTGTGCTGGGGCCGCTGTCCCCCGAGCCCAGGGGGCTGTCGCAGCTGCTGCTGGGCGACGGGCTGAGGGTCCGGGACAGAGAGTTCAGCTTCCAGGGGTCGGGCCTCCTGGTGGGGGTGGGCCGCGGACGGGGGGCGAATTCCAGCGTCTTGGGTCTCTCCAGGGGGCTGATGAGGGAGAGGGGAGCCGGGTCAGGGATGGGAGGAGCGGGGGCCTTACGCCGCTGGGGGACCGGGAAGATGATGGAGGGCTCAGGGAGGCGGGGGATGTCGAGGATTTCTAGAGTACCTGAGACATGACAGTGAGAAACATGAACAAAATGTAGCAATTTAGTTGTTTAAGCAAAACTATTATCTAATTCTAGCTTCTCAAAATGGAGTATAAGTCTCTTTTCCTTGATATGTGAAAGTAACCCTGAACATGTCTCTTTGAGGACGAAATCAAATCTGCAGACCTAGAGAATAAAAAAAACATTAGAGGATATATCATTGTCCTTTTAAGTAGTACATCTGTAAGATATATTTTTCAAAGACCAAAGGCAGTAACATTTTGAGATAATGTGGTTTGGAGCAGGAACTGTTTGAAAAACTGGGAATTGTCATTGCTTTTATAATGAATCCCCAACATCTTAGACTCATTTTCAGCCTCTCGGAAGCTCAGGCAGGAAGATGTTTATAGTCACATGTTCCATAAATTATTCAAGCATATATGTCCGTGATGTATCTCTAACACAAGGATGTCTCTAAATTCTTTGGCACCAATTTACTCCGTATACAACAAGGAGAACTGTAGTTTATGTATAAGTACATTTAAGTACATTTACTCAAGACAAGTATTGTACATTACTTATCTTTGCAATGTCATCAAAACATCACTAGTCCCTTACCTTTGTAAGTAGTGCGGTGTGGCGCCCCCGGTGGAGGGGGCATCGGCATGCTCCCATCAGACGGCGTCCTGTGGTGTCCCATAGTTTGGGCTCGGGGTCTTATCGCCCCGTCTGAAGGGGTCCGTCGGTGTCCTCTGCTGAAGGCCACAGACACGTGGGTGGGCGTGAGCGACTGGTTGGGCTCCTTCTTGAAGCTCTCCGCCCGCAGATCCAACAGCGGGTTGAGGGCCGGAGCTGGGGGAGCCACTGCGGTTTTGCCCCCCGTCATCGGGGTGAGGGGGTACTCGTCCGGGTCGGAGGGGAGGAGGGACTTGGTGGAGTTGCAGTCAGAGAGAGAGGACAACGAGAGGAGAGTGACAGAGGGAGACGGGTCCATGCAGGGGAGAGCAGAGTCGTGATGTCTGGAGAGGGAGAGGGAGAGGTTTCTGCTGGGAGGGGAGGTGCTGCGGCGGAAACGTCCCGTCCGCTGGAAGAGACCCTCTTTCTTCTTACGCTGCTCTTCTCGCTGGTCCTGCTCGTCCTGGAGCACCTGGAAACATCAACACACTGTGAGACCACCGAGCAGCACTCAAATAAAATCACCTTATAATCAGCTGAACAATTTAACAACTCCCTTCTCTTTAAAAACAAGCTGCTTTACTTTTTAAATAATTCCTTCCTCAGCCTACTATAGCAACAGATTACTTCCAAATCCTTAGTCATTGATCCTCCCACTGCATGAGAGGATCAATGGAAGAAGATCTCAGTGCTTAAACCAAATTACATATTTCTGTCTTTTGATTCCACAACAGACAGAAATACACATAATTAACACGATGCTGGAAATCCTTAGTGCTTATTGTACAGCATGGCACAGATTATTTAGCAGCTTGTTTCATCCCACAAAATGGGATCATTAGTGTGAGATATGGAGGCGGTACGATCATAAGACGTCGGCTCGGTTACATGTGTTTCTTTGTTTAAAAAGACAGTGTTTCTGCCTGCAGGAGGAAGCTGTTTTAACAGGGCAGGTACCTTCTTGAAGGAATAATGAATGTGTGAATTCATGTATAGCGTTTCACCACAATTTCAATCTTAAAGGGATATTTAAAAAAGAGCCAATTTAAACAAACTACTTATGAAACAAACCTCTTCTGTACTTTGTGGTTTTCATTTGAAACACCACATTGGTACATCTTAAAATGTAATTGTTTTCTCATGGTACTGAGCGGTTTTAAGGTACGTTCATAAATTGAAATGAATCTTTATATGATATCATTTCAATTATTAACACATTCTAAAGTGAAGCTGAAAAATAAAGGAATTGTCCTCATGTGTTTTCCTTTTGTAGATTATAAGAATATAATTTAAGTTTTTCTCTGTTTTCTTTCTGTTTTCTTTCAGTTTTCTTTCTTTTTTCTTTTAGTTTCCTTTCTGTTTTCTTCCTGTGTTTCTCTCACCTGTAGTTTCCCGTGCTGCAGCAGGTCTTGCCCCAGTCCGACAGACGCGAGCAGAGAGGCACAGCCCAGCAGTAACATGTCGCTCTTCTTCCTCTGGCTGTAGCGCCGCATAGAGTCCTGGTAGCTCACCCCCGGCCCCAGGCCCCCGTGCCCCTGACAGGAGCCCGTGTTGGGTCCCAGGCCGCCCCACAGAGGGCCCGAGTCCTCCACTGCCCCGTTACTGCTGCTCTCTGGGGGCAGCAGGGACCCCGGGGACTCCTCCAACTCACAGCACTCCTCTGTCAGAGATAGCAGAAACAGGTTAGTGAACAAAGAGTAACGATGATTGATTGTTGTCACTAATTTATGATGAAAGTAAAGACTCACCCATCTCATTGAGGCTGGAGAAGCCGGCGCTCATTGGTGCATGTTTGGGGGATTTTCCCAGATTTGGTGCACTGGACGACCAAACTTTGCTTCCCTCTCCGAGTGACTTCAGTCTGCAAACAGAAACCATGATGACAACACCAACCAGAAGTAACTTTGAAAACTTTAAGATAACAAGAAATAAAACCAAGGAGCCCTCAAACACAACATAGATATTTTTCTCAAAATGTCCACAGACTGTAAGGACCTGGAAGGTTCTGCTTCCCTGTGTAACAAAAACCTGTCCAGAAGAACACGAGTAAAGACATCTACTTCTCGCCTGTGATAACTTTAACTCAATACAATCCTCATGATACACTTTTTGTCGCTGCAGTTTCATCAAATACTTTGAATTGATCCTCCTTTAAAAAAACGTTGCGCGATGGTGAGGTATGAACAGTTTCTGAATTTCTGCTACATGAATCTGTCAATATCTGTGTAGATTTGGTATGAAACTAAATACAATACACAGATCCATGCTGTTTTTAAAACAAAACTTTGAACGTTTTTTACGTTTATGTTTTATGTTTGCATTAACGTTCTATCGTGCTTTAAAAACGTTCCCAGGACTCTGGAAAGATGAGCTTTTGTATCCCAATAGGACCTTCCTAACTTAATAAATTGAAAAGAGAATAACAAATCCAAAACTCATTCCCCCAAACTCGAATCTTTGAGTCGGGTTTGGGTAAACAATATAGCACAGCATAAACTATGAATGACTTTATCAGGTAAAACAGATTTGACATGAATCTCAGATACGTAAACTCATGTTTCACATACTTCTCCTCCCCGCCCACCCTCTCTTTCTGGAGGGTGGAGCTCGGCCCCCAGGTGCGTCCTTTCTTCTTGCTGGTGGACAGATCCTCCTTCTTACACACTGCGCTGCGGCCCCACGTCTTACTGCCGTCACTCGGTGTCACTGAAGAACAGTCGGATAACATTACTGTCACACCGTACACACACTGTCTCTCACACGGGATGCTTTCTGGCTTTGGGTGTTCCCACTCACGTCTTATGGCTCTCAGTCGGGGAATGACCCCCGGGCTGGCGGGGGGGGTGGTGCTCTCGCTCCTCTGAGTCTTCCTCTTGTCCACACTGGGGGACGCCTGAACTGTGATCTTATGCTCAAAGCCTACAGGTGAGCGAGAAGAGAAAATATGTTTACATTCATCTGTTTCATTAATAGGACATTTCAACTGTTTCTAAATATGGGAACACACACAGCAAGGTACAGTTTATTATGAACTTCAAAAACACACAATTTAAACAATAATACAATATATTGTCATGCAGCTCTTCTTTGATATAAAATAAATACCAGGCATTATATAAATGAGAAGCATTTCCATACAACAAACATACTGTACTTATGTCTGTTGATTGACAGAAAAATCATCTACAACTATTAGCGATAAGCGATTGGCTTTTTGACTAACAAAACAAGAAATGTTTAACTATTTTCTGACATTTATAAAAATATAATCAATCAATTAATTAATCTGGAAAATAACCTGCAAATCAATTTATTATAAAAATAATTTGTGTTTAAAGCCCTATCTCAGTAGCAGCTTCTCTGCTTTGCCGTTGTCCCTCCATACACCTCAGCCTCTCATCTGCCTCTCTCTTCCAGCTGATCACCTGTCCCCATTTGACCTCATCAGCCAGTTGTTATACTGAGAGGGCTTTCCCCTTTATTCCCTACCAGATTGTCCATGTTGCTTTTATATAATCACACCCTGGATCTAGACCTGGCTGCATGTAAGCGTATAAATCGTTGTCAATAAATCTTTAATTTAACAACATAAACTGTGAATTCCCCACAATGCAAATATTTTGAAAACAAACTGCTAAAACAAATAGTATATATATAAAAAATCTGATGGCTAAATGCCACATATTGTTTTCAGTTTGGTCACTAAATATTAATAATTTGACATGAATAATAATGAACGATAATTATATTGTCATATCAACATTTCAACCGCAATTGCCTAAAAAACGTGTGAAATATTGATGATACATTGAAGTCATTGGATCATCGTGTGTGGTTTTTCTTCTCTTCATATTAAAGGACACTTAAGTGATATTGAATTAGCAGTATATCAGTGTTGATTACGTGTATTAATGTTGTCAACATCAACAATACAATGTCCTACATTTGCACACTTAAAACGTAGTGAACAATGAGCCTGCAGTCCCCTGTCCACCCACCAGAGGGCAGGCTGATGCTGTTGCTGTCGCGGCCCAGCTTCAGTCGGCTCTTCTTGAAGTTCCCTTTCCTTTTCTTCACGCTGGGTTTCTCCTGGTACATCTGGTGGATGATGATGTTCAGCTCTCGCTCCACGATGTCGATCTCTCTCTCCGCCAGCTCCTGCTCTCTCCTCTTCAGCTGCTCCTCCTGCTCCTTCTGCTCCTCGGCTGCACGAGCCAACGACTCCTCCCACGACCTCAGCTCCTGGAGAGAGGCCGAGGAGAGAGAGGAGATAGAAAACCAAAAAGAGGAGACGAAGATGGGTGAGGATGACGAAAGGACATGGGAAACAAAGGAAAGAGTTTAAGAGGATAGGGTAAGTGCAGGAGAAGAGAAGATAGGTAAGAGGATGAGGAGAGGGGTTATGAGGAGAGAGAGGGAGAGAACAGGAGAGAGGATGAGAGTGACAGAGGAGAGGAGAAAAGGAGAGGAAGAGGAGAAAGAGGAGAAAAGCAGAGGAATAGGAAGAGGTAGGAGAGAGGAGGAAGGAGAGATAGAGGGGAATAATGAAGGGATGAAACGAGGAAGAGGAGGGAAAGAGGATGAAGACAAGTTAAGAAGGAAATAGGAGATGAGAGGGTAAGCCAGTGAGGAAGGATGGTAAGGAGCATAGGGGGAGAGGAAGGAGAGAGGGTGAGAGGGAAAGGTCATTAGCACACTAGCACAGCCACACCTCCTCTGACACTTTGTTTGGCAAAACGCTTGTTGCTAAGGTAATTGTGATTTGCAGAAACAACTCAGATTGGGATGTGGTGATAATCCTCCCACCCTCAATATGGAAATTGACGACTTCTGACTTCTATTTTGGAAGTCCTCCGAAAAATGTGTGTGTTTTAGTTTCTTCAAATACTTTAATGTCTTTTAAACCATCTTTAGCTAATAATGATGTCCCCTCTGATAAGACCGGATCTGTTTCAGGGCCCTCACCTTCTCTTTGGCCCTCAGCTCGTCAAACATCTGCTGGATCTCCAGCCTCCAGTCCTCCTGTAAGGAGTGGAAGGACTCCAGAGGCATCTGAAACATGGCCGACTGCTCGATGGCCAGCAGGCGCTGCAGGATGCTGCTGAAGGAGGGCCGGCTGCGGGGGTTCGGGCTCCAGCACTCTGAGGGGGTAAAGAGGGGAGAGTTACCATCCAGGTTAGCGACATGTTTCATGTGTTACATAGCTCTAAACAGATGGTTATATGAGGCTTATTGTATTAATTTTAGCACATGCTGTTAATCCAAGTGGTTTACAATAAGTGCATTTCATCTCCGAACAAACAGCAGCTTGGTGTTGTCAAAGTCTTTTGTTTTTTTGCTAAAACTGACTTAGCTGTAAATGTTTTGTTTCGACTCCTGCTGTTATACTATCCAGAGAAATCATACATGCCCCTTTCCATGTTTTAAACAACCCGCTTTATTTTGCGTCAGTACATATCATTGATGCATTTCCTGTTATTTAAAAAACTTGACACGTTTTCTTACTTTTACTTGTATCTGTCTTTCAAATTTTCCACCCAGTTTTTACCACTCAGGCTTATTTATTGCGACCTTAAAACATACCTGTACATTAAGTCCTTACCATAAAGTTTAATAAAAATAACATAGGCATTTATTAACAGCTGGTTACAATAGTCTTTGTCAAATGTTACTCAAACAGAACAAAAATGTATACATTTACTAGGTACTATTGCAGAAGCATTTGTTGCCCCTTCATATGGAAATACAACTGGTTGTGGCTTCACCAACAATACTTGTTAGTAGGATCAATTCAGTGTTGGAAAACAATTCAGAAAAACATAATCTATCGGCACTTATTTATTTTTGATAAACCATGCATTTTTGGTCTGGATATATAATTCCCTTTCTGGCACCAACCAAAGTGTAAGGGAGCAGGATGGGACAGCATATGGCGGGCATGTTGAGCCAAACCCTGAGTGACAGAGCTGCAGACACACAGTGCACACCTACAGAGAGCAGAGCCTTACAACACCAGACCATAATCGTCTACTTAAACGCAAAGTAAAATGTCATTAAATGGCTGTTTCACAGGCTGAAAATATATGTTATAGCAGGTTATGTTTACTAAAAAATAATACATGAGCATAAATAGTATGTTGGTAAAAGCTGTAGAGAGGAGATGAAAGTGAGATGATGACAGGACGGAGTAAACAGGGAGCAGCGAGGGATGACAAAGGAGAGATTAACGGATGAACACGGATAAGAAGAGGAGGAGTGAGAGGGGAAGTGAGGAGGAAAAGAGCTTTAGGAGCAGAGAGGGAGGGGGAGTGGAGGGAGGTGGATGAAGTTGGCTGACAGTTTAAGAAAGCTCTTTTTGAACCTGAGCCTGCTGCTTATTCATCTGCGTTAAAAGGTAGCTTCAGTGTTAAGCATATTAAGGCAGCCTGGATAAAAAGCAGGTGTGTGTTTAAACAGAGATGACCTGCACGGTGAAACCAGAGCTGTTAATACTCCACTGCTGTTAACAGAGCTGCTGCCTGGATTATTTGTGAGGGGAAGAGGAAAAAGCCGGCCTGGGGCAGCTCTGGGATGTATATAATGCAACCTAATGAAACTGTCTTCATCTATGTTTAACTCTTAGTGTTCATCTCTGCTCCTAGATGAAAATCAAAAACAACTGTAACCTCAAATATGTGTGCAACGTTACAACACTTTAAAGTGGATGGGAACCTCCAAAGGGCTTTTTTTCAAAGTGAGTTTCTGTGTCACCAGTGACATTTTTAAGGTCATTTTGATGACTGGTGTACAGGAAAAGAAAGGAAGCTCAAGGGCACATAAAGTGAAAGTAGACTTGTCAACCATGAATGAATGGGACAAGTGAGACATGCATGAAGAAGTCATAGAAATCAAAAAAGACAACGACTTTTGAGCAGTTTGTGTCAACTCCGGGCTTCTTGAAAATCACTTTGTAACCCAGCACAGCACTTTTATCTCTGTTTTCTTGGATTTAATAATCACTCAAAGGGTCCTGGTGGTCGGGCTGCTTACCTGCCAGCAGCTGAGCGAAAGGTTCAGGGCACGTTGACGGGACAGGAAGTGTTAGTTTGTTCATGGCGACACCGTAAGCGACCGCCAGCGCGTCTATCTCTCTGTAGGGAACCTCGCCGGTCAGCAGCTCCCACAGTAACACCCCGAAACTGAGAAGAGAGGCAAACAAGGAACATTTTTTTATTAATTTCTGTTTTAATGTAACATCTAATGCCAAAAACTATCCTTCAACACAACAATAGTGTCCAGCTCTTATCTGTGACCGGAGCTCACTGAATAACAACTGAAGGATCCTGAAAATAACTGTCAAACTTCAAACTAATTGACATACCATTCCATTACCAAACAACATTCTGACACTCACTTTTTTGTAAAGGTATATTTACATGACAAACATTAACAACAATCAGCATGTATTCACGTATTGTACTTATGTGGTACTTAAAGTGAACTTGAGTGTTTCATATTCTACTCTTACATATTATTTTATATTCCATGTATCTGACAGCAGTAGATACTAATTACTTTACAGCTATTATAAATTAACCTGCCCTACAAAAACCACGCATAAGTGATATTTTATAGATGTATTTTTTTTTTGTATTTCATTGTTTTACTTCAGTGAAATGCATGTTTAACTGCAAAGGGGTAATTTTAAATTGAAGTTTTTGTTTTCTTTGACCCAAGTTAAGTATCTCAATACTTCTCAACCACTAATTCATGGAAACAAATGATCACAATCCAACTTAACTTAACAAAATGTAATAATATTCTTAATTGAACCCAGATTTCTTTATGCATAAGTAAAACATCTGGCGTTCACATTGTGACACATTCATCTCGACAGCCCGTGTGAGGACATTTGTCACTGTTTAAATGAAAAGATGAATCACAGAAGAGTGACGGCAGTACCTCCACACGTCGCTGCTCTTGGAGAAGAGCGAGAGTTTGATGACCTCGGGGGCCATCCAGGCGTACGTCCCCGCCGCGCTCATCTTGGTGGTCTGGTGCCACTCTCTGGCCAGCCCGAAGTCCGTGATCTTCAGGGTCCTCCCCCCCAAGTCTTCTCGCTCCGCAGGCTCCTGGATGAGGACTGAGGAGGAGGAGCAGACAAAGATTTTAGTTCAAAGCTGGCATTACTCTAAACACAGAGTAGTATCATACAACAACAGACAAATAAAAACGATTTCTGAGACGATCAAGTAAAAGCTCTCTGAGAAAAGATCAAAGAGGCAGACATTTTCAGCTGAATACTTAAGTCAAATGTAATGTTAGAAGTCCTTTAATCTCAATAATCAATAGTTTTCTGACTACTTTGATTATAGTAACTGTAATATACTGTATTGAGTGTTGGACTGTTAGTCAAACAAAACTTGCAGTTTGAAGATCTAGGCTTACTATTTGAGAAAATAGTGATTTTCCGTATTTTTCCCATCATTTTGGAAATGTATGAACCAATTATCGATTTTATAGGAAATGTAATCCGAGGGTAAGATTGTTAAACAAAACCTGTATAAGGAATACTAACTTTTAACCACAAAGTCTTACTGTTTTAAATTACATTTAAGTTGTTCAGACTGGCAAGTTCTGAGAGCGAAAAACCCAGAAAAGAAACAATCATGGAAATAACTTTAATACTCCAAATATCCAAAACTTTGCAACATTAAAAACTTAATGTCAATGGTGTGTTTGTTAAATAACACAGTCATGTTTACAGTGCAGGTGTGTGGTGTCAGGTTACTATAGAGGGCACTACTTTCCCTTAGGGTCCAGTACTGTACCGATACGTTAGTGTCTCTTTTCCGTACAGTGATCAGTCATTTTGATGTTTCCTTATTAATATTAGCATTAAACTAATCTCTCGGTCTCTTTTCTCTTTCTTCCATGTACAACTTCCTCCTTTATTTCCGCATGAGAGCTGGCTATGGAAATATTTGGAGTGTACACAGTTCACAGGCTCTGAGTCAGGTCCGAGTTTCTCTCTCTCTCTCTTATCTACAGGCCTATGCAAAGGGTGGTGGAGAGAGACTATACACACACACACACACACACACACCGTTTCACGTGATAAAGGTGTGCCTCTGCTCTGTCCACAAGCTCCCTGGGAGACGAGTTTCAGTGATAATGAACTGATCTCAGAGCAGTCTGTACGTATTTCCATAGGCAGAGAGAAGTATTCACAGACTGTATCACGCTGTAAGATACTCCAGGAAAAGTACTATCCAGATCAATTGATATCGAAAATAGTTGGTAAAGCAACAGAGCACTGATCCGCAATCATTTCAGTTGAAATTGTGAATATTTCCTGCTTTTTTATTGTTCTATTAACTTATTCTTTATTGGTTAGGTAAATAACACCTCAAGCATAATATTTGTATAAAATCCTCACATTTTGTATATGTTACATTTTTTCATCTTCACCTTTCCAGCTGTCATATAAGACATTTAATTTTCTTTTAAGGGTAGTGTCGTAAACTAAAAGTATAGAGTAGCAATAAATGAGGAGAAGTACTTCTCTAATAGCAGTGGTGGAATGTAATAAAGTACATTTGCTCAAGTACTGCACTTAAGTACAATGTTGAGGTACTTTTCCTCAGTATTTCAAATGTAACCTACTTTATACTTTTACTTTATTTGGAAGCCGACATCGTGCATTTATCTGAAAGTGTCAGTTACTAGTTGATTTATAGATTCAGATTATAAGGTGATAAAATAAAAATCAACTTGAAAACAAACTTTGACATATAAGTATAGGTAAAGACATCCAGTAGCAGTTTGTAAAATAATTGTACAACAAATAAGCTCCACCTTAACCAGCAAGACACGAATGCATAGATAATCATAACCTAGTCATGAAATAGATATGCTTCTTAAATAAAGTACTTTTGGTAATTTAAGTATATTTTGTTGCCAATATTTTTTACTTTTACTTGTAACAGAGTATTTTTACAATTAAGTATTTCTCCTTTTACTTGAGTAAAAGATCTAGTACTTCTTCCACCACTGTGAAATAGTCTCCAGACATCTTTTCTATTCTGATGCCGACGTCTCTGAGGGACAGCTGTCTCCTCGGGGCTAACTCTCTCTCTGTGTCTCTAAAAACAGAAGATGGAGTGGAGACAGACGCAGAAAGAGCTAGAGGACAGGATCTGTTTGCATGCTTAGATGGGTGTGTCAACCTTTACTAGTTTGCTTTGTGTGTGTGAACATGGAGCACATCCATACAGGGAAAAGGACATCACGGCATGTAGATTGAGGGCGGGGTGGGGAGGAGAGAAGACAGACGAGGGAATATAGAAACTCAACAGAGGCCTGTTTACAGAAACTGAGAGCGAAGCAGCACTTCCACCTGCTCCCACTCTCTTTCTGATTTAATTATAACATCATTGCGTGACTTTCACACCTCGTGATTCATCTTGGTGCAGCTTCTTCACACCATTCATTCATCGTGCCACAGCTTTCCCTGCTCTTGTCATGTCAAACACTAAAGATCACAGTGTGTGCGCCAGCTGGCAGCGCAGGAAGTGCAGCGAAACACAGACAGCCGCGGCGCAGCACATTTCATAACAGTGAAGGGAAACAAAGTCCTCAAGGTGAGAGTGGCTTTTACACAATACAATGCTGCTGGAAATGTTATTTTAAAATAGAGTACGGATGAGAATAAGTACAGCTGACAAGCTCCCTGGTTACTACAAAGTCCTCCATGGCAACAAGCATTACGAGAACGATCACACAATCAGTTGACTATTTCTTGACTAGAAAAACTGCTGCTGCTCTTTAATGTCATGATCAAATGATGCACATTCACTGTTTCAGTACAGCACAAAGAAGATGACCCATTTATTTTTACATGCAGCGTTGATATCAATAACCTGTGTTTGAAACTAGGTGTGCACTATATTGTTTTTTTCTGATATTTTCCAAATAATTTTGACAGATTGCTGATATAAAGACATGTTTTCCACCTAATTGAAGAGAACATCCTCTGTATCTTTTCTGTCCATCCTGCACTACATAAATATGCCGACTCTTATCTACCCACTGGTAGATATAGTAGACATAAATAACATTATCTTAAATGTCACTCTGCAAAAAAGGAAACTCCTCAACTTAGGTTACATAAAAACATTTATTTGTATGTAACATATCGGCCTGTCCAATCAGAGAAAATGTTATTTTTCTGTATAAAAGCCTTTATCTGCTGATATCGATAACATGGTGACATTACCGTGCATAGATATCTGTAACCTACAGAGAGCTGCTGAATAAATGTGCCATGGCTGATGACTTTAACACCAGTCTGCAGCCGCGCTAGCAGCTCTGTGAGGCTGTGAAAGACAAACAGCACGATAAAACATGAGGTCCAAAATCTGTTTGTGCATGTACTTGTGCATGTACACAGGGCCGGCCCTAGACATTTTGGTGCCCTAGGCGCTCTCTCTCTCTCTCTTGCTCGCTCGGAGGCTCACTCGCACTTTGGCTGTGAGCTGCGGGCGCCTGCTAAGTCAACATCCCCCACTTTCATCACTTACAGCGCACATCGTACAGGGCAAATGAAAAATGTTGCTGGCCCGGAATGCAAAGGGTGTTTACTTTATTCAATTATTAACGTAAATGTATTACATCTAGGGCAGAAAATTAGGCAGAATAAAAATAATTTTTTTATTTTATTTTATTATTATTTTGTTTCTCCCATCGCAGCGCCCCTCCAGATCTGGCGCCCTAGGCGACCGGCTAGTTCGCCAGTGCCTAGGGCCGGCCCTGCATGTACACCATCCTAATTAAATGTTTTGACATTCCTATAAGTTACTAACTCTTCGCTTCATTGTTAACTCCCTTAATCCCCAAGAAGATTGGTGATGCAGCCTTCGTTATGCCCCAAAGCTTTGGAACAAAAATACCTGTAGATATCAGGGGAGCCTGCTAGGTGTAACTCTTTAAATAAACAAAAGCTAAACACATATTTGTACAACTTAGCCTTTTAGGAAGCTAACTCCTGCTCTCAATGCACTCTGATGCATTCTAACCTATCAACTGATTTTGTTTTGTATTTGCACTATCCTCCGTTTAACCGTACCTATCTTTTTATGTGTATTCTTTGCTATTTTATGTTTGTTTTTATGTATTTTATTGGTATCTGTATTCTATTTGACATCAGTTTTCTGTGCGCATTTTCTACTGATATTATCGTAGGAAAGGTGCTATACAAATAAAGCGTATTATTATTTAGGTATAGGAATGTCAAACAACTTCAATATAAAGATCAAGTTTATTAATAAAAAGTATTGTCAAGTGTTCCTATTCTTGCTGTTGATAACATTCCTTTCAGCAGGATATCCAGATAATGTAGAGACAAGGCTCCAGGTCTTTGTTATGTATTGTAAAGGTGCATTAATATCTCTAAACCCATTAAGGACTGGCTCACTGTGGGAATGCACCAGCTGAGTGCAGCCTCAGAGGACTGCAGGGTTTACATTATAAAACATTCAAACAAGTTGCAGTCTAACAACAACAGTAGCCAAGTTTTATTGATCAGCTGTCAGAAACACATGCTCATTGTCACACAGAGCGGCAGTTTGCTGCCTGTGTGACGAAGTGTAAACTTAAACGTCTAAAGTCTCTCTTTCCTCCGCCCTTGGACCCTGACCCCGGCTAAGTGTTGAGAAATGCCGCCGAGCTACTGTTCAAACACTGAAGCAGCTAGCAGCCTTTCACCTGAACAATGATCTCCAGCCTGGTTAGTAAGTGCTGTGAGAACAGGTCACACATTCGCCAGCTCAGATACTTCACCACACAGGAATGCAATCAGATGTCTTCTGAGTGAAGGTATTTTTTGCCATTCATCAAAGTTTATTACACCATAAACAAACATGTATGAGCTAATCTGGAAATTCCCTGCAGAGGAGAGCCAGAGCAATGAGGAAATGATTCAGTTCATAAGTTCTGGAAGTATTTCATGCAAGATTTGGGGTTTTCAGGGTTGGTAAATGTTATTTCCTCCTTTAGTGACATCAGCATTGTGGACTATCTGGAGGTGGTGAAGCTGACGGTGGAGAATAAGACTATAACATTTAGTCATCTTGATTTCTATTA